GAATGATCAAAAGAGAAATATAATTTTTCACCATTTTAAAGAGAAAGTATAAGATGTTTAAAAAGAATTATCAAGAACACTCTTCAGAGATTTAATATCAATTTCAATTTATTTGTTTCTTTTTTGTTTTGGATGACCAAAAGGTTTCTTTTAAAACGTGTTTAAAAAATTAGAAAGTACATTCATAAAACTAAAGTTATAATATATGAATCAAATAAATAGTCTTTAATGTGTAAATGGTAAGGAGAAGAAACAATGGTACTTGGTTGCTTATTTTTAAACATTCACCTTAAACTCTAAATATTTTGTAATAGAAAAAAAAAATTAACAAAGATGATGTGTCACAAAGAAGCTAGTAACGACTAACGAATGAAAGTTTGCGGTTTGATTTAGAGATTATAATGGAGTAGAAAAAGTCACAATTAAGAGAATAAAAGAAGATCAAAATGATTAGAGATAAAAGGAAAGTGGAGAAGTTTAAGAAGACCCTTCTTTCACACTAAAAGAGGTCCAACGTAAGAAAAATAGAATGAAAATAAGATAATAATATATATCTTTTTTTTTTCTTTATATTTAATATCACCCATTTATTTTTCTAAAATTATGGATAGATTTTCTCAAAATTGTACTTTTTGTTGAGAAATATTATCAATTGGTTAATTAGTGATAATTGCCAAACATATATGCCGTTATCTTTATTTAATTTGAACAATTATCAAACATATTTTATGCTTTAGAGTCTTATTTCTTTTTAAAAAATTTGGTATTTTAATTTTATCCCATTAATTAATAGTTATTTTAGTTTTAGGTGTTTTATAATGTTTTTTTAATTAGTTTTAAGATACAGGGAGGAGGAAACTAATGTCAAAGCAGCTAAACGTTGGGAGCATTTTTACTTAAAGTAAGAGGGAAGTGCACTCTCAATAAGTTAATTTAGAAGACAACTTTGGAGCACCATGAAGCACTAGCTTAGGCGAGTCATGTCATCAAGTCAGCTTAAGCGAGCCCACCTTATCACTTTGAGTGTGAAAGAAAAGTCCATTTAAAAAATTATAAAATTAGGGCACGAGAAATATAAAGACACTTTATTTTTCACTATTACTCAGAGAGATTAGACATAGTGAGAGTGATATTCTTGTAAGCATAGATCCCTTAATGACCTTTGTCTATACTCGTAAGGGAATTTCTTAACCATGTACGACTAAGTATTTTGTTGTTGGGAATTGATGTAGTTGTCTGAATCCATGTAAGTATTTCTTTTTTTATTTAATTAAAGTTTTTATTTAGTTAATTGATATTATTCTTCTCTTAATGCATGTTTTGGCTTGACCACCCTTTGTATGATCTTATAAAACTAATTGTGGTTGAGAAATTCTTTTAAAACTACTATATGAAGAAAATCGCTAATAATATTTATTGCTATAAATAAAATAAGAATTATTAGTAAACTTTACATCTTCAATCTTAATGTGGGTTACTTAATTAACTTTATCAAAGAATTAGAATTTTTATTAAGGAACTTAAAACTTATCGTCTATGAGATTAAAGTATTTTCGTTGATTATTGAGTTAATTTCATAACTATTGAAATTGAATAATAATTGGGAAGGATAATAACTAAAAAAGATACATGAGAGGAAGACAAATGAAATCAATACTTGATATTCTTTTATTATAAATTTTTAATTATTTTTTTAATTTATTTGTTTATTCTTTAAACTCGAACTACATTCTTTATTTCTTATACGTTCTTCAAATTAATCTTTTTTTAAGTTCTTTTATTTAACATTATATCAGATTGATTAGGTCTTCACCTGTCTGTGTGAATTTGAAACCTGAATTTTGTCAATTTTACTATTCGTAATAATTGGTACATTCGCCAAAAATCTAACATCTAATTAATTGTTTGTGATTAATGTTTTTATAATAATTTATATTATTTGGTTATGTAAAATTAATTTAGATATTCATATAGACAAAAAAAATGTTTACCAAGGTCCTAGCACTACAATACAAATATCTTTTAACGACATTTGAAAAATATTACCTAATTGTGTATAAAGATTACTAATTTGATTTTACAACATATTATCAAATATTGTATATAATTCATGTTGTTAAAAACTTTATAAAATAATAATTAGTTTTAATTTAGATATTGTTATCAATTATTATATTTTTATGTCTCATAAACTTCTAGTAATTTTTTAAGAAAAGGTTGAAGACATTCTTAATTAGTCATTACTAATTATATATCAAATGTTAAAAGTTTATTTATCTTAAGTATAATTATATGATTATATATATTATGAGTCATTCATTTATTTGATGTGAAATTTTAATTATGGGTAACAATTGGATATGAGAGAAATATACTTTTTTCTACTCGATGTAAGACTTTAATTTTAGAAACAATTAAAAAGAATAATGTTGAGATAAAAAATATGTTACTTATTTATAGTAACATTTAAAAAAATATTCCAAAATAACCTATGTGACTTTTTTTTATACTCGATATAAGATTTTGATTTTGAAAATAATTAAAAAATAATATTAAAATAAAAAATATTACTCTATTTATAATAATATTTTTCAAAAAAAAATATTATAAAATAACTTATTTATTAAATATATAATAATATTTTAACAAATTTAAAAAAGAAAATGATGTTAAAGAATTAAAATGTAGTAGTATAATATTTTTAATAATTATGTCATTTTATGACTTATTAAGTGTTATTCTTAATGTTATGAATTCTTTTTACAAAACATGGTTAAAATTTAGGATTTTATGGAAATTATCTGACTCTCCATTTCTCACTAGCTTAACCATGAGTTTTAATTTTAAGAACGTATGATAGGCTGATAGCTAATGATAAATGTATGACTTATGTAGAGCTTATTTTACACTTTTAGATGTAACTCTAAAATTTTAATTACACTAATATTAATATTAATATGTTGAATTTGTAATTAACATAAAAATAAATTTTTTAAATTGATTGTAATAAGAATTTGATATAGAATATAATTATTTCTACATTGATTAAGGTCATAACCTATGTAGAAGTGATCATATTTTACATTGATTAATGCTACCATTAATGTAGAATATGTCTTTTTTTGTAATATTATGTTTGTTTTAGGTTCAAACCAAAAACTTGTGATGCAATTTATAGCCCAAGCATAATTATTCATATTTAATGTACATAATCAAACATCCAAAATAAATATTTCATCAAATAATTTAAATATATTAAAATCAATAAAAACGCTAATATTCCTCTATATTACTTTTAAATTACCTATAAATCATTCACTATACAACATGTAGTTGTACATTTTATACATAACTAATAAACTACTATAACATAAGCTAAAATAACCTAAAAGCATAGAATTAGAAATATACAAAATCCTACATATTTTTAATTTATCTTACCCAATCATTTCCAAAATTTCCTCAAGATAGTAGGTAAACATCTTGAAACAACTAGAACATATAATAACATATTAGTGGTCATATTAATAGTCGTTGTATCATGAAAATTAAATTATAACTTAGTTGTCAAAGTAAAAATTACAGTATTTGCTCCTAAGAATCAATGATACACGTGTTAAGTCTTCATTCAGTACATCACATAATAGTCAACTTATAGTTGTCCTCTTGCTTATTGTGCTAAAATGATAATTAAATTTGATTATATGACAAACTTTGTAAAGAAACTAACTAAATGTTTCTTTTTGGAAGGAATTTAAGATATTGTAAATTAATGACTTATGTTCTTAGTAATGTAAATAATGTTCATCGTCTTGCATTGGGTCAACCATTCAAAACATTGCAATTTGATTTAGTGATATACTATAAACCAGTCGAGTTGTGTCTGTAATTGTGTTTAGTATTTGTAATTTGATTTAGTGATATATTATTTGTTAGATTTATTGGATAATAAACCCCTTAAATCATTACCTAACTCAATTATAATAAGGTAAAATAAAAATTACTTAATCTAACTCGATGATCCAACCCAATTTATAAAATTGTAATTGGATTATTTTGAGTTGTTTGAATTTGTGAATGGTTCATTACACATTTACACCCTTAAATTTTTGTATGGATTGATGCTCAAGAAATCCATATTGTGACACTTCCCCTAATTTATGACTTAATTGACATAAATGCCTAAAATAAATGTTAAATATAAATAACAAAATAATGAATTACTTAATAAAATAATTAAATTATTTACGTTGTCCATAACACATGATAAGGAATAAAGATAAGTCAACAGAAGGTTTATGAGCAACATTTTCATTTAGACTCAAATTGAGGCTCAAAACCCTATCAGCTTGTTTATGCACTCTAATAGTATTTATTTTGCCTTTAGAATTTGATAATTTTTCTATTATTATAAATGAGTAATTTTTTTTCTCATTAAATTCAATCGGGGAAGTAACTTATCAATAAAATTGTAATAAGATTTATTTATTTCCTCAATAGAATTTAAATTGTAAAAGTTAGTTAAAAATATTTTTAATGTAAGATAATCCGACTCCAATAAATTGAATATTAAATACGAAGACCTTTCTCAATGAGAGTTCAAACTATGATTCAATTACTTTATAGAAAACTAACTCTTTTCACTAGAAATAACCTGATGGTTACAATTGTTTTTTTGGACGTTGACCTAATGGTTACAATTATCTGATGTAATAAAACCCCTAATGGATACAATTATTTGAATAAGTAAGCTCGTCTTTAAATTCCTTTTTCACGGCCAACTTTCGGATTGCCTAATATACTTTAATACCTCATTTCATCACGAAGATAATTAAAATTATCCTCTAGATGATCAAACACACGATTCTTGTGAGAACAAAACTTATCACTACATCAATTACTGATGACTCACGTAAAGAAAATTCACTAAAATATGCAAAACACAAAATGGGTTCTCGAAACTTACCGATGATAATTCATGCACTTGAAGAAAAGTCAATAAACCATGCAAAGATCAAATAGGTCCTCGAAACTGAACAATAAAGATATTTTCGAAAGAAAACATAAAAATTGTTATTCTATTTCTAGTCCAGTCCTAGTATCTGAGTATTGTATACAATGAAGGAATTTTATAATAGTAAACAAGGTATACTACTTATGTACCTTGTTTCAAATCAGTGAGGGTGGTGTAAACAAATAAAATGAATTGAAGGCAAAAATAAGTGACGCGGGAAAGAGATGATGTAGGGGTAACTACAGAACAAGCATTGACTTGACCCTATCACTTGGACAATTGACCACTCTAGAAAGCCACTTCACTTGAGATTGCTAAGATAGGAAAGGAGATGGGGAGGGTATTGTGCAGAGAAAAAGAGTGTTCTCTGTACTTAGGACCTAATTTTCAGGATCATTCTCGCAGCTTACAATTCCGAAGATAGGAATGATCATATTTGACATATTTAGTCCAGTAAGATCGATACTTAGTCATGGCTATCTCTAACCATGGCTTCATATTACCATTGTAGTGTACCACTGCTGCATTATCAATCTCTGAACGATCTACACTTGGATTGTAACCCAGACCAAGTACATGCCATGATTTATTTAGCGGATGTGTTAATCCATAGAATGTCATTAGCCCTGGAGGTAATGTTCCCAGCTTCCACAGCACCCTGTCTTCGTTCTGGAATCAAACAGGAAAAAAGGGTCAGTCAAAGATCATTCGCAGTGGATTTGGCTCCTCTAAAGTCTCACTTAGGATATAGAGTGCAGATTATATTATAACCTTTTTATTGCAACATCAACGATTAACCTATAACAATTAATCTATGCGGTTTTGATGTCCACATTTTTCTAGATTCTTTTACCCTTAAACTAATTCACACAACTGCACTTTATCCTCTAAAGGGTAACACTCCCTTTAGAGTTAAGTCTGCATGCAGTTATCTATTTACATAAGACAAGAAGAAAAGACATGTGATATAAACCAACGTTATGTTAAACTGCTCACCAAATTTTGCCACTTGTGATATATGCCAGTGATGTCCTTCTTTTTCCACACCTTCAAATCAAACATGTTCATCCCGTATGCCCAACCACAAGCATTTGGATCAAAATTTTTTGCAATATGCGGATTTGAAAAGTTAAGGTACTTGTCAAATCGGTGAAAACTCTCACCGCATGTTTCAACAGCACCATTTACTTTTCCATGAAGATTCACAGCCCATAATCCAGTCAAATCCTTCTGGACAACAATGTCATCATCAAGAAAAAGAATCTTATCCAATTTTGGATAAACTTGTGGAAGATAGAATCTCAGGTGGTTGAGCATTGACAGATATTTTGGATTTCTGTACTTGAGATTAGAAGCACCAGTAGTAGTTGGATGGCCTGCCTTGAAATAATACTCTTTCATTGTTGCAGATTCAAGCTGCTTCAAGACTGGGCAGTAGGATGAGTTCAACCACTTAAATTCGTCAACATTTTCAACATTGATTGTAGCTTTTCCAGGAGGGTTCAACAAAAACCACATGTTCATGGCTCCAAAATTCAGTTTATCAGTAACAAGGTGAAACACATGCTTTGAAGGATCCTGCAATGTTGAAGAGACAAACATAAGATAATGAAGGCCAGGTTTAATTATATTATTAACCAAGTCAGGGATGCACTGTACAAGCAAAATATACATGGGTTGTACAGTGCAAGCACAAACTATTCATCTATAAAAAGGAATTTACTTTATAGGCATGCACACAGACACACCAGTATGGTAAAAAACAGTCCAAGTCACCTTTGCATTCACAATAGTTGAGTTGACAACAACAGATGCAGCCAAGACATTGTCCGAGAACAGGGCATAATGATAGAGACTGGGATTCTCCAAATTCTCAGTTCTAGGGAATTTTCTCTTTTCAAGAGGAAGGAGGAAGTAATCTATGGTAAGGCGCATAGATAAGCAGTGAATTCCATTTGGTATGGTCTTGGCAGCCAACTGACTAAGGAATGTGCTTTGTTTCTTCAAGCCCCTAACCTGCTCATCAGCTGTTTGTAGCATTGCCCTCAATTTCCCAGTAACCAACTTGCAGTCATACAATTGCTCTTTTGCCTTAGAAAGAACTTGGCCCATAGTTTTGATTTTTTCATGATCACTACAGACAATTAAACATTTGATTAGTAAAGTTGGTTAATGCAAACTAAGACATACAGATGCATATGAATATACATTTAAGATAAAATTTCACGCAGCTTCCATACCTGGGATGTAGGTCAGCATCAGAAGTTGCCTCACCTAAAGCACGTTGACTTTCTTTAAGCTGAGATTGCAGTTCTTGGTATAGTTGAGGCTTGTTCTTCATCTTTGCAATACCCAAGTAAACCCTAGCCATAATGATTTGGTCTCGCATCAACCGTACTGTAGAATCAACATTCTCATTCTCATTTTCTTTCCTCCAAATGTTGTATTTACCTAGAACTGCTGAATCAACAGATTTTGAGTGTTCAATAGCTGAATCCTCAAGTTTAACAATTACTTCATCATCCTGTTTGACCAACTCAGCAGCACGCTTTTCCTTCCTTTTCTCTATTAATTGCTGTAGAAGATATTTTCAAAGAAGAAGACAGGGTTTATTTTAATAATCTTTGTTGTTTCCAAAATAATGTATCATCCACATTTCAGACAATATTGAACTCTAAAAATTTTAGGGTCATTGTTGTGTGGTTGCTTTCAAGTCAAATGTATTTTGGAAGAATAAGCTTTACATTTAGAAATCATCAGCCACGAGTTATAAGAATGAATTATTAGGATACTCTTGGAGTAAATTACTTGAGTATAGATTTAATACAAAGTGAGTAAATTTATAATTGAGATAATACTTTTGTTGGGTTACAAGGGGAGCCTAAATACCAGAAAGATCTTTCCATCAGAGGGCCAAATGAAACAACACAAGTGACTCTAAACATCACATATAACCCAAAACCTTAATATCAGGTGCATATATCCTTGTCATTTATGCTACCTAACTTGCTCATTCTTATTCAATATAGGAATTTTTCCTTAAAATTGGCACTGCAAGAATTTATATTGTAAGTATGAACAAAATGATAAAATTCTAATATGTCAAAATATATTGTGGCACAACTTCATTTCAGCTGGAAGTAACAAATAGAGCTTCCCAGCATGTAAGACTACCACCATGAAAGATTGGTTTCGGAAGGGTTATATATATCAGCAGTGAGGCTGTTTCCATAACAGCCACCACCACTGTGACCCCCAAGTTACTAGGTGTTGCACACTACCGTACAGTCCCCAGAGTACAAGCTTACATAAGCAAACAGTTTCCAAAAAAGCAGTATGCAAATTAAAACAAGAAAAATATTCACGAATGATCAATGATACTCACCCTTCTGGTTAGCTGTGCAGGACTGTCAGTCCACTGAGCACTACCAACTGCATCCATAAAAAATATAGAATGAGAAAGTAAACTATAATACAACATAGGCACATTACCAGATAGCACATTAGTAATGTGACATTACCACCAGAAAATTTTCCTTCCTTCCCATTTTGCTTCTCTTGTCCAACATTGTTCACCGGTCGATTTAGCTATAATTAAACATAAAAAGAGGACCATCATAAAGAGTAAACGAATGCCATTCTTTCCTTTAAAACAGGAAACAAAGTTTTAGCAGAAGCACATCAGTCTTCCAAACCTTATGCTTAGCATTTGAAGTCTTTAATCCAACAACCCTCCATGAAGCAGACAGATTATTCTTCAAAAAACTCTCAAGACTCAAAGGCCCCATGTCATTTGTGTTGGACACAATAACATCAAGAACCTAAAATATAGCATAGTATTCATTAGAAACCCACGAAATGAACGAATTTTACACAAAAAATTTTTTTTACATGAGATACAGATAACAAGAGTAAATATCAGCTTTCGCTTGCCTCTTTCGGAAAAAGTGATTTAAGATCCTGCAATGCCTGCAACAGCCAAAAACATGAAAAACAAAAATATTTAAGTCATGTTTGGATATATATCTTCATAAACAATAAACCGAAAAAGGCGCAAGACAGGGTACCTTTCCCGTGGCAGGAGCTGAATCATCAGGTTGATCTGCAGAAGGCATTGGAAGTAATTAAACGGAAATGAAAGACTTAAGAAGGAAAGATGAACGAGAAAAGATGAAGGGAAGAGAATGATACCGTGAAAGGGCGATGCGAAGAGGAGGAGGACGAGGCAGAGGAGGAGGAAGGCGAGGAGAGGGAAATGCGCTCTGTTGTTGGGTGCCATTGCGGATCTGAATCCAAATGTGAGAGCTCAGAGGGTTTATTTGTTATTTATGATTTATGATTTATGATTTATGATTTATGAGAAGTGAAAGAGTAAAGAGTGTGTGCATGAATGAATAATGAATAATGAATAATGAAAGTGTATGCTTTCCTTTTCTTTTCTGTTTCGAATTTGGGTCCATTTTCCTCTTTTCTTCCTAGCTACCTCTTTCTCTCTGTCACCTGTCGCCTTAGTTCTTTTCTTTTTCATTTACTTGCTATTTTTAAGGAATGTAAGACAATTCCTACTCCTATTTTACCTTAAAATTAAATACTATGTAGCTGAGATCTAAATTTATAATTTTATTGTCACTTTTGTATGATTTTTATTTTTGTTTTTATGAGATTTTTTTTTCTTAGAAATATATTATTTTTATAAATTTAATAGTCATGCACTAATTTAAATAATTATGATTGTCAACTTAATTTGGTAAGAGTGACTAAGAACTCACATCACTTAATCAAATAGTTAGTAATTAAATCTTCAATCTTGCAAATACAAAATATTTTAATTGAGAGGAAATATTTATCTATTTGATGTTTTTCTAGTTTACACAGGAGATTGTCTTTGTATTTAACTAAAAAAAAATATGATGGTTGTGATTAGATGATAATGCAAAAATATTATACATTGTTTATACATAACAAGTTTTCTCTATTTTTGTTTTTAATTTATGTAAAATAAACAATTTTTTTTATTTTTTATTTATTTATAAAAATCAAACTTGATCATAGATCCTGAATCATTTGTCAACTATAGGAGCTAAATCACAAAAATATAAAAAGACAAATAATCTAATTATAAACAAATAATTTGTTTAGTTTACGGACCTAATTAAATTGTTTATAAAAATTTATAAAATAAATAATGTATTAAATCTTGGACTTAATTGTGTTTTATATCTTCTAATATTATAATTGTGTCATTTTCGTCCCTAATCTCAAGGTTCTAATTAAACAAATTTAGTCCTTAAGTATTATAGTTATGCATTTTTTTTCTCAGATTTTAATCAAGTCATTTTAGTCTTTTAAATATCGTAATTATATAATTTTTTATTTATTTAAGTTACATATATTATCATTTTCATTCATGTATTAAATGATATATATTTATTATCATTAATATATGTAACTTAAATAGGTAACAATTTGTATAATTGCAACACTTGAGAAACTAAAATAACATAATTATAATACTTAAGACACTAAAATTGCTCAATTAAAATTTAAGAAAACAAAATTGCACAATTGCAATACTTAAGAGAGATTAAAATTATTCAATTAAAACTTAAGAAACTAAAATCGCATAACTATTATACTTCATGGAACAAAAACATATTTGTTTTAATTTGTGTTAAATGAACAACTTTTAATTTTTTTTATATATTTATGAAAATCTTGCAAATGAATTGCTAACTATGTAGACTAAATTACAAAAATATAAAAGATTTTTTAACTTAATTACAAATTTATTTAATTTAAGTACCTAATTAAAATTATTCAAATAATTTATAAACCAAATAATGTATTAAACCTTAAAATAAATATTATATATCTAACTTAAAATTAATATTAAGGATGAAAATAATGATGTCAGATTTTAAAAAATTAAAAATTTAAAAAATATATTTTATAGAGATTATTTTTTTTTTTCATTTTACATGAACTAGAATATTGGTTCTAAATTTTAGAAGGATAAAATTTTCTTACAAAGATCAAAAGTAAAAGTCATCCATTTTATAGTGTCTTAAAATATATTTGATTTAAAAAATAATTGTAGATATGAAATTTAAAATAATTATTACATAAATTAATAATTTTGTTATTATTATTATTAGAAGAAAAAAAATAGTTCATGTCTCTCAATATATTTAAAAAAAAAAATCATGGACTGGGTAGGCATAGAAAGAAATGATTGATGGTAGTTACTAAAAAAAATTAATATTTTTAATATTTAATAGTGTAATATTCTAAAGTTTGTGAAGACTAAAAAATATTACAGAAAAAAATATTTCTTTTATATATTATTAGTAGAAAAAAAAAAAGTTACTATATACCTCTATATACTTATTTTTAAGGAGTTCTCTAAGAAAATAGTTGCAAAAAAATATTAAAATTTAAAATAGATAACCATATAAATTAATAATTTTTTTTATTAAAGAGAGTAAATAGTAATAAAAAAAGTGTTTTATTTATGTATAAAAGTATCTAATTCAAAATGGAAACCAAAAAAGATAGTTATTTAATTATATCCAAGGACGGAGCCAAGGGGGGACCTACGGGTGCCACGGCCCCCCCAACAATTTTAATTTTTTTTTATATACATATATATTACTATATGGCACCCCCTATTTTTAATATAAACTCATATTTTTAATATAAACTCATATGTATATTACTATATGGCACCCCCTATATGGCACCCCCAGTATTGAAATCCTGGCTCCGTCCCTGATTATATCTTCTTTATAATATATATATATATATATATATATATAAATGTATAGATTATTATTATTATTATTATTATTATATACAATGGGTATAAAAATGATTATTAAATAAAAGCTAAAAAAAATTATAGTACCAGTGCATTTCAACTAAAATTTATTTTATAAAATTTTATTTATTATCACGCGATTCATGCCATAGATTTTTATATAATTTATAGTTTTTTTAATAATTAATTTAAATATTATATATAAAATCTTAATTAGTTAATAGTATATTTTTATACTGAAATATATATTAAAATTAAACTTTATTATATGCTCTTCTAAACCAGTTTAAGGCCAACTAATTTGTTGAATGTTTTCAAATCAAATGATAACTATAACGTTCAGGACCCTCTTTAAAAACTCTCAATCCAGTTCAATAAATTAAGTCAATGTGTTGGTTAAATAATTGAAACCTATTAACCAAACTCTAAAAGAAATAATCTCTTGACAATGGATAAACCTCATTACAATTGAATCATAGTCTGAAATTCATTAGAGGCGACAATTATTATTATATCACTTCACATAAATAAAATAAAATAAAATAAAATAAAAAATTCACTAGGATAACTGAATTGAGAAATATATAAGCACTTCAAAAATACTAGAGACACACCACCAAAGTTTGACTTATGACAATATATAGAAATTCATTTTGAATATTCTACTTTGGTGGATTGGTATAGAAATTCCTTGACGTAATTACTATTTATGAATCCAATAAACCAACGGCTCTACAACGTTCTTTTCAAATTTCTCGAATTGGATGTAAAATCCCTCAGGATACGTCTCAAAACAAATTTGTTTTAATATAGTTTGTTATGTAACCCCTTTCAATTTTAGTTCATAAATAATTCAATCTTTTTAATAATTAATATATATTTATACAATTTGATTTTTATTATGAGAATTTTATTAAAGGAAGAAAAATTTGTTTTGAATAGTAGACCAGACTGACCAATTTGACTAAAAAACTGATAAATCGATTGTTTAATTGAATCAAATAATCTACATAATCGATCTAAAAAATTATATCAGAGAATCAAATAATCAATTAGGAAATGGTAACAATAATTGGCCAAAAATTAGTTTACATGAATCAACACTTTTTTTATTTTTAAGTATAATGACTCGACAGGTTAAGCATTATAGGTATAAAAAAAATATAAATTTAATTATATTAACATACATCAATTTTATTACTTGGGATTTTGCTATTATTCTTTCTAACTTTGTATAAATATCCCTGTACATCCACTAGTTAAATAATATAATAAATTCCATTTATCTTTTTTTAATAAATTATCTAAAGTTAATATGCAAATAATTTTTAAATATACATGCAGCAATATATATATATATATATATATATATATATATATAGGGAGCATATTAAGTGAGAGGGAATTTATTATGAGAGATGAGAGAGTTAAAATATAACTTTTAGATTAATCAAGTGAGAGAAAATTTGGGGTCTAATCAAGTGAGAGAAAATTAATTTAAGGATTATATTTTAACCATCTCATCTCTCATAATAAATCCCCTTTCAATTGATATGCTCCCTATATATATATATAATTCATCGATTAAAAACATAAATGTAAGTCTCTCAGTAAGACTACACTAAAAACTATACATATACATATATATAGTAATTTAGACTAAAAACATAAATTTAGGTTGTCGACCAAACAACTACTATAATATAGTTATATTGGAGTAGCCCAACAACCACATCATCTAACATAGTAAGTTGGTTTAGGGTTTAATGGATGCTATAAAGAAAAGTATATAAGAATTTCTCTGATAATAGAGCCTCATAAGCTCATTTTCAAAAAAACCTAGAGAGAAGGACTCTGAGTTCGTGAACTTTTTTCTCTCCCAAATTTCTCTATTTGATTCTTCTTCTTCTCTAGATCACTAATTTCTTTTATCTTTTCTTGAAATTCAAGCAAGAAAGCTTGTTTTGGAGGATTAAAATTCGTGGGTTGAGCTTTGGGGGAAAATCTTCTTCTTCCTTCTCTTTTTGGCTGTTCTGAGCCAATCTTTAGGTGAGGGATGCTAGAATGTAGGTTGTTTGATTGCATGTGAGTTTAGAAACTCAATTGGTGCATGAATTTTGAGAATCAAAGGGTAAATTGAAAGAATTTCTCATTTTTTGGGGTTTTAGGAAAAATGGGGTTTTTTGTGATTTTGATGCATAGAGTGGTTGCATGTTGAATCTGAGTTTATTTTTTGAGTTGTATGGAGCCTATGTATTTCATTTCATGGATTGCATATGGCTGGATCTGGTGCTTTTTAGGTTTTGATGCAATTTTCTGGGTTTTTGGAGGTTGCTGTTTGAATTTGCGTCGGGTGCATGTTCTTTGCGCCGGGCGCGCATTCATTAAGGACCACCATTGCCAAATCACGCCGGACGCGAGGTTATTCGTGTCGGGTGTGATTTGAAATGGGAGTCTCTAGATGAGTCACGCCGAGCGTGATAATAGATAGTGGCCATGTATGTTCATGTTACTGATGCGGCGTTAGGTGCAGGGTGGGTGCGCTGAGCGTGGAGACCCTTAGAGGTCTCTGTTTGTTTTGGCGCCGAGCATAGGATTGGTATGCCGAGCGTGGAGACTCCTGGGAGTCTCTACCTATA